TTCGACTATTTCTGTCTGGAGAACAGAAACCGACCGCCTCGAGGTTCCTCAGCATCCCTCCCACGGTCCTCGACATCTGACAGCGAATATTTACCGGCCGAATCGTTAAATCGCCGATGAATAAACATACAAAAGTGGCGGCCTTTCGAAACCGTGATCGGTGATCGCAGAAAAAAATCGGTATTCCCGCGACGTTGCGGATGAAATTTATTTTATCCCGGTGTTTTAAACAAACCGAGAGGACTTGTTCTCCATCTTGGAAGTAATGATCTCACGCGCGGTGTAGGTTCGAATGAAATTCAGGAATGCGGTTGAAATTTGGAATTTTCGTGGACGATACTGTATATATTGGACGATTGCAAAAGTTCGAAAATTGAAATAGCAATCGTGGCCGATTTGAAGATGATACATAAGCGGTGCGTGCAAAGGCACGTTTCATTTCAAACTGAAATGGAATGAAATGAACAATTATGTGAAAAGTAAGACACAAGCGCTGTGTATCTGTCGATAGGAACGTAACATCACGTTAAAATAAACATTTGTGCCAAAGTGTGATGATAAGCAGACTGCGGATTCTTATGCAAATTCGTATTTTTACGAGTGTAATTAACCCTTACGTCAATAACCGAGTACCCTTTTGCATAATTCTCACTTTAACCCCATTTAACTTCGTTTTGACTGCACACTTACGACTTTTGGGTGAAAAAGGACCTAAGACCTTATGCGCGACATATGAACCTAGACAATAAACGTTTAAAATAAGGAATGTAAACTTGATAACAGCAAAAGTTACTAAAAATATAAAAAGGCGGTGGGTCAAAAAAGACCCGAAGACCGCTCTAGGGTTAAAATATTTGATCTTCCGGGTAAAAGATTGAAATATCCCGGCCGGATCGTTGTTATTTCGCACATTTCCTATCGGTGTTTGCCTCGAATTTTCTTATCAGAAAACTACTAAAATTTCAAGATAAAGTAGACGACAATTCTGGTTATTGACATAAGGGTTAAAAAAACAGAAGCTAGATGGGCAATTGTTTTATTCGTTAAATATTACAACGAGTACTACATTTCTGGTTCGTTTGTATAATTTTGCTTATTGCGTGCATTCTGTGTATTTTTGTGCCTTCAAATTTTCCACGAATGCACAAAAATCCGCAGTCTAGCGACAAGGTTCCCGCAACCTCTGAAAATCGGCCACGAATTTTTCCAATCATCCGATAGAAACCACGATTAACCCTAGAGCGGTCTTCGGGTCATTTTTGACCCACCGTCTTTTTATACTCTTAGTCATTTTTGCTGTTATCAAGTTTACGTTCCTTAACACTATTTCAAACAAATAAGTCAAAATTAATAAGGTCTTGGGTCCTTTTTCACCCAAAAGTCTTAAGTGTACAGTCAAAACGAAGAACGCAATAGGGTTAAACTGTCTTACTTTGCACGACATACTTTTCTTTTTTTTTTTAATTTTTCTAGAATTACTAGGATACGGATCCATAGATCCAGGCAAACGGTACAACGGAAAGGGAAAGCGTACAGCGATGTCGCAAACCGGAACTTTTTCTATCGATTATTCAATCGTTATACCACGACCTTATGGGACTTTCTATTAAAGAGATCGACAAGGAGAGCACAAGTTCGATCATTCTCCGGATTCCCGCGTACCGATTCGTCGTTGTTCCCTTCGTTAGCTGGAAACTGTTTTACGACACTTTAACAGCGGCCTTTTGCCAGGCAAAGCGGCACTTCTCGTCGCGTTATTTTCTCTCCTCTAAAGCTGTTTCTTTCATTACGTTTCGAGCGAGGTCGTTCCGTTTCGGATGAAAGAGAGAAAGAAAAAAAGGTGGGATACGGTTCGATGTATACTTATCATCTCGTTCGAGAAAGTCAAGTTGAACGGTGTTGCGGTAGGCGTTCTGACGAGTCGCTTTTCAAAACTGTCCTTAGAGGTGTGAAGTGTTCCTGTTTCATGAGAGATCGTTCCACGATATTCATACCTGTGTGTCTGAGGTTGTAGATCGTGAGATAGGAAACGTCGGGTTTCTAATCATTCGGAAATTCATCCTTCGAGTGATCGATTAACCCTCGCCGGTCCCTCGTGTCGATTTGACACATTTTTCCGCTAAAAAATTGTATTATTCGGCTATTTGTCGAAAAATATTTTTGTTTAATTTCTATATTTAATAAAAGAATTTACAAAATTAATTATCTATCTTTTCGTTTCGCTGATCTTTTATCATTGTGTCGAATTAACACCGAAGGACCTATTAAACCTAGAGCGGTCTTCGGGTCTCTTTTGACCCATCGCCTTCTGATCTTTTTAATTACTTTTGCTGTTATCAAATTTATGTTCCCTTAACGTTACATCGAAAGTTCATTACCTGAGTTCATATGGCGTGCTGGTAACAAAAATTGTTACACCTAAGACCTTTGGGTCAAAAAAGACCCAAAAACCTCAACTGTACAGTCGAACGAAAGAACGCACTAGGGTTAAGATGCGAAACTGAGGGACGGATGAGGGTTAAGTGTTGCGAGGTTTTCAGCTTTTTCGTGGTGCTTCAAGCTTGGACAATTCTAGCTGAGTTGCTGTTGGGAAATTTGAGGGTGTTTGTTAACCCTCGTACGACGAATGCAGGGATTAGGAAATACATCTATTTTATGTATGAAATGTAAATAAACGAGAAAAACATCAAATACATGTAGTTGAAAGTATGCATATTTATACACAATTCCTTCTTGAAACCCGTGTACAATAGAAACTTTGCTATGGGTTAAAGTGACCCTGCATTCGTCTGTAAAACCATTCGCCTTCCGAGGGTGAAGACTAGAATAACCAAACTCGTAGAAATGACGATTTTTTTGCTTTAAATTGCAGCTTTTTTTGCGAGTCTATGGCGACTTCTGCTGAAATAAGAAATAATTGTATATACGAATTTATTTTTTTATTAATTTGGTTCTTCTAAAGTTTGGTTCTTCTAGTGTTGAATGTCGATCAAGACGAACTTAACATTTTATCTTACAAGAAAAATCACAATTGACGAACGTCAATTTTTCAGGAAATTGATTTGAAGATTTTTGTGGTAGAATGTCATTAATTACTCGACTAATTCATAAATAAAACAATTTTTCTTTTACAATTCAGCTGACATTCCTTGGGTTTCGAGGATCTCCAATAAAACATCGTTTGTGTATTTTTGACTACCAAAAAAAAGGGTTGAAAGATTCCTATTTCGAATCGTGACGTCGTCCTTTTTTCCTAATTTGAATATCACTGACGTTCGTTCACACAAAAATAGCTCTCCTTTGGAGCCACTTTTTGCAATCTCCAAATTAACGATCGTTCTCCTAAAATGATATACGACTCGAAAATTCCAAAATTCAAACTCATCGATAGTTTCCACCGACAAAAAACCTCCACAATATTTTCAGGTAAAATCTACAATCTCCCCTAAGCAAGATTCTCAATCATTTCTGAATATCTGAAAAATTCCACGAAGAATCCTTTCTCTCCTCCAATTGCTCCAATTAACCCCTTGACCTATGATTACTTTTCTGACTGTGCTTCTAGGCGTCAGCCATTTACTGTTTTAGCACTACCAAACCCAATGTATTTAGTTAATAAACATTTTTTAAGTTATGCCACATGAGATACCCGGGTAGATGAAAATAACCCGATCGACCGGGGTATCTCACGAGTACTCGAATATGTACATAAGACAGTGGAAATCTCGGTGGCCGCTACCGCTGGCGTTGTCGGCAATTACTATCGCAAGAAATGAAAAGAAACAATTGCAGGGCGTCTAGGAAAATCACGTACTCTCCTGCGTCAAAGGGTCACCTACGACTGACCGTCCACGGCCAGAGCCGTCACTCTTTTATTACTGTCTTACACATATTATATATGTTGCGTCGTGCGCTTCGAACAAGCGGTATGCTCGAGAGTGGTGGCGCAAGATTGTCGCTGGTTCGTGGTGCGGGTTGTTTGCTGGTGTGAAGTCGTGGTGACTTAGAGTTTGCACGTACTTTAATATATTGTAAGACAAAGGCTTTATGTTGAAGAGTGACAATTTTATGTGGTGTGTGTATTCCCTTTTTGGAGATCTAACGGTGTTCGCTCGATAGAACCTTTTCTGAATCTGTCGCTCGATCGCCGAATTTTTCTCGAGTCCGCCGTGACTCCCCCGCCAAGTGCAAGAAGGCACGCTGATTGGTTTTTCACGTACGCACAAATTACCAATCAACGTGCCCCTTGAGTGTCACCCACCCTTCCATTGCGCCCTTAGCGCGCTTTTCCTTGGAAGGAGTGGGGCCCTACCTGCGGGTGCATGGAATCTTCGCTGCCCTTCGGTGACGCGTTGGAAATTCTCGCCAGGTCAACCCTCGGCCGAGAGTGCCGTTATACGAGCGTGTGGATTGACACTTCAGGAACCCTGGTTTATGACACGTCTTCGGTTATCGAGGACGCGGAAAAGTCGAAATTCTAAAGGCATTGTTCTGTAAGAAATTACTTAAGCGTCTTTGTTCTCAAAAATAACCTTCTCGTGCGAGCGTGCCATAATCCCGGTCAACGAAGACCCCACGCGTTCCGTACCTGCGCGACGGAACAATTGTAGAATAAATATCCTTTTTTTATAATTCACGATTTTTATTCTTTCGCAATAAAAATCCGAATGTAACCTAAAACCGATTCAGTAGTATCAGCGAGAAAGAAGCGCGGGGAGGAGAGCGAGGAGATCGTAAATATGTATTCGTGACATATCGGTGTGAGTCAGAAGTGACTCCGGCATCAGTACTCCGAGGGTTAATACTCTATCAGGTAAGAAAGTTAATCTGTTACAGATTAATTACATTTAGTAATTCTCTTAGGATCACAGTTAACTTTTCTTATTTATATTAATATTTTTGTCACATCTTGGCCAGAATCTCTACCACGAGTCTGACACGTTGTCATACGTTGAGCGGTTAAAATAATCAACACATTAACATCCAAATTCTCCACTTACCCTAAGATCCTCCCAGCATCCGGGCTCCTATAGTAATCGCACCTATGCAGAGGTCTCCTCGGATCATCGACGCTCCTCTGTCCAGCCGCCTGGCACAAGGCTCGATACAGTTGGAACTGAAGGACCCCCGCCACGAAATTCCTGTGAAATATGAGAGAAAGCTCGTGTTTAAATCGTACGTACGAAAATTTCCCTCTGACCTCTCCGTCACATTCCTCCATTTATCCACGATTCTCAATTTTACTCCTCGAATCGACACGAAACCATCGTATTCACGCTACATCGAGTAACCGACGAAAAACAGCGGATCTACGGAAAAAAGGAGGTGAAATTCTAGGTGATCGAGCGTTCAATGACCCCGAAGCGCGGTGACTTTTTCGGAACCTTGAAGAAATCGCGACGTCTCGCGTCCAAGGCCAGTGTTAACGTGGCGGCAATTCGCCGTTCTAGGAATCCTCAGTGTGATTCCGTTGCTTTCTTCGACAACTCTCGATGCACAGGCGAGACACGAAAGACAGAGAGAGCGATGAGAGAGA